AGCTTCTCTATCATCCCTTAATATCAAAAACAAACAAACAAAAACAAAGCAAAACTCACTGCCATCCAATCAATTCCAATATGTAGTGACTTATAGGACAACACAGAGCTGCTCCTTCTGGTGTCCAGCTGCACATTTTTATGGGAGCAAGAAGCTTCATATTTCTACTGCAGAGCAACTGGTTAGTTTTAGTTGTTAATCTTGAGGTTATCAGTCCAATGTGTAAACCGCTATACCACCAAACTCATGGTCATCGAGTCAATGCCAACTCATAGTGACCTTAGAGAACAGGGTGGAATTGTCCCTAGGACTTTTGAGATAGTAATGCGTTATGGGAGTAGAAAGTCTCATCTTTCTCCCAAAGAGCATCTGGTGGTTTTGAACTGCAGGCCTTATGGATTGCAGCCCAATGTATAATCACTATACAACCAAGGTATCTTGTCAGTTTGATTCCTGGGTATTCCATCTGTTTATAGTTGCAGTTTATGTAGCTATACACAGTGTCTGCATTGAAGATATCATTGGTCCTGCCCAGCTGTATCATGCTCTCTCCAGCTTTGTTTCTATCACCAAAGTCATATTTTCTGACAAATGATCCTTCCTCTGTTTCCAACGCTCTCATTTGAATTGCCAGTAAATTATCAGTGCATCTGGATTGCATGTCTGAAAGCATTTCAGCCTAAAGAAGTTGGGAGAATTTTTAAATTTCTTCTTCAATAGTTTCAGTGTTTGGTAAGTTGGTAAGCAGTTGATAAAATTGCAGATGAACTTGCAGTAGAAGAAAAGACTATGACAAACAAATAGGACATCCACTTCTGAGGAATTAGCCACTGAAAAGAGCATTCTCAGGTACAGTGCCTGAAGATGAGTCCCTCAGGTTGGAAGGCACTCAAAACTCAGGAGTAGCTGCATCTAACAACAACAACAACATCTCATTTATTTCTTAGTCTGGAAGTTCTGCTGAAACTGTTAGGTCGCTAGTTTAGAGACAGGGGTTTTCCCACCCAGGCCTGTACAGGCTCCATAAAAGAGGTTGGAAGGAAATCAGACAATCATTAGACACCTATGAAGACCCCCAAAGTGAGCATGCTCACACTCTAGTCCCTGAGTCAGGTGGGAGGTACACTAGGCCCAGGCTCATGACATCACCCAGGGCTTAACCTAGCCAATGGGGTCAACCAGTACCTTCACCACCACGCCTTTCCCCAGCCAGGGGGTGGACCAGAATAAAGGTGGGAGCATGCTCTGAGACTCTCTCTTACTCTTACCCTGCTCCAGACAATGGCAGGGAGGAGGGAGGAGGCGCACATGCACCACTGAGGCATGACCCCTCAGAGCCCGCTCTGGGCCTGCTTGGGGCCCACGGCCTCTCTTGTCCCCTGTCTGACTCCCTAGCTCTCTAGCTTCCATACCCTGTAGCCCCTTGCTCCCTCAATCCATCAGGCCCTGGGATCCTCCCAGGTCTGAATGGAGGTTGCTTGTGCCCAGTTGTGAATCCCTCTGAGACTCTGAAACCCGAAACGTGTCCCGTTTTTCATAAAAACCCACTTGGATTACAAAACAGGCTTCGGTGTGAATTATTTCATCCTGTGAAGCCAAGAACTGAAGTATGACCCACTGGAGAAAGCTAACAAAACCTTTTCTCCCACCTCGTATTTGAAATATTGGTGACATGGCTTCAAGCAACATAGCAACATGCAAGGCACCACACTAGGGCAAACCAGCAGAGAAGTGGTGGATTTTACACAAAGTTTCTTTCGGTATGGACAGTTAAATATTTTCTTCAGCTCTTTCAGTTTAGAGATGGTGATCCTGCCCTTCCATTTTGGTTTTCTAAGTCTTTTCAGATTTCATTATAACGTGCAATATGTAATTAAAATGTATGGATATGGTAAATGTTTGCTTTTCAGAGTAATTTTTTATTTCTCATAACGTTTTCAGTTTTCTCAACACACATACCACTTTCTTTGGTTATCTTCCACATTGTAGACGCATTATGTATATTATAAAACAATAATAGCATCTTAATTTTCCTCTCACAGTTAGCTTTGGGTCTACATTGATCTATAGCTACATTGATATCTGTCTAAGTTTAAACAGAGCAATAAGGCTTACAGCATATGCATTGTCACGCCACTTAATAGTTCATATAGCTGATTTGATTCGAGTCATTCTATAATTAAAACTACGCGAGTTTGCATGAAGTTGATTTTTAAATTATACCTACTAAAAATATTGTGTAAATAGGCACTGTGTTAGTCTGGGTAAACTAGGGTAACAAATTCACAGACACTCATTTGTGAGAGTTTTATATAAAGGGTAAGTGTAGATCCAGAAAACATCCCAATCCAGTGCTGTCCAAGGCCATAAATCCAGCATTAGTCCATATGTCTGACACCAATCTACAAAGTCCTCCTCCATCTCACAAAACACACACTATGATGCTGACTGCAGGAGGAAAGCCGAATCAGTGAGCATGTAAGCATCTCAGCGCTGGCAGGGGTCTCTACACGGCTGCCCCAGCACCCAGGGCTGCATCAGGGTAGGTCCATGTGGCCTCCTTGGGAATGTCTTGCAGGAAGTGAGCCTTGCCAGCTGAAGCAGGGAACAGGCTAAGACAGCTGCACCCTGGTCCAACCATCAGAAAGCAAGAGACCTGAGAACTCGAAAGGGGAGGCTCACCGAGCCATTTATCCCTCCGCCCTTCAACTAAACCCACATGTGCTTATCAGCCAGGTTGGCACAATAAACCTTAACTATCTCAGGCACTAATATAATCAGAAATAATGTCACACTGTGACTTGCCTTAGGGTTAATCTCACTTTTTTGTTTGTTGGTTTTATGCTAAACTAGTTTCCCTTTTCTCATTCAGTATTTGAAGCTAATTAAGTTTCATTGCCCTAGTATTCTTCATTGGAGTGGTCACACCCAAAACCTAATCTAAAGGGATTTGGAAATCCATTCACCAAAAACCACCTTCCAATAATACGTTAATATAAAGAAAATTTAGCACTAAAAAAAAATACTGTATGAAATGTTTAAGGAAGAAATGCAGGCTAGAGTTACAATAATTAAAAAAAGAATGAACATCTATTAAACTCACCTTATATATTCTAATATTCACATAAAATTATAAGCATCTGATGCAGAAAATAAGTGAACATGTATCAGAAAATATCCTTAAACTAGAGGTGGGCACTAATTAATACTGAGTCCAAGATTAGCCAATATTGCTTTATTTGGTTAATATAGGATAAAAATAAGCATAATAAGGAATAATACATACTTTCTGAAACAAATATAGAACTTCTACAACTATAATCTGTTTTTAAGATTCAATTTTATACAAATTTACTTGGGGAAAATGTGGTTCATAAATCCAAGGACTTGATTTTTAGTATCTGCTCTGGCAGTCCCAGTTTTATGAATTCAGACAACACCACTTTTGTTTGTAGGATTATCTGTGGGATGGAGTTACTAATAGCTATCCCACTTACCTCTCCAGGCTTCCGTGAGGATCGAATGTAAATGGCTTTGAAAAGTTCAATGTTCTTTATAAATGTGTGTTCTCATTACTCACTATACAGAAGTGTTCTTGACAATCCAGGTTTAGTTTCGCAAGGCAAGGGGCAACAATCCTGAGCCTTCTAGTTCAGAAATTATTACAAGTGGTATTATAAAAAATGTGTCAGTCTAACGACACAGCATGAATTAGACAAGACGAATTCACCTCATTTGTTTAAAAAAATTGTAGAATGATACAGCAGTTGGCTTGAATTGCACAATGTTACAAGCTTTCCTAAAGAAACACCTATACAGCCCACTTAGCTGAGGCTATTTTTGAGAACTAAAACCAGATTTCTTGCAATATAGTCGATTCTGACTTGAAACGACTCTCTAGGACAGAGTAGAACTGCTCCTTTGGAATTCCCAGACTCTTAAAAAATTCATACATAATTCGATAGCTCAATCATATTAAGAAGAATTGTGCAAACAACAGCACAGTCAACTTCAGATGATTTTATTCTTTCTTATATTCATTGTTGTTGACTCACTTCTCCCAGCTTCCCCTCCCATGGCCCTAGGAATCATGTATCCAGTTACTGTGTCTATAGATTTAGCTCTGCTGGATTTCATACAAAATAAAGACAAACAACCAAATAGGGGCCCAACAACAATGACAAAGTAAAACAGAAAAACTTCAATAAAAAAGATAGCAAAAAATATTAATAAGCTATGACAGATTTAAAATGGGTCAAAAAGAAGATTAAATGCTGAGGTGCCATGTTTTCACCTAACTAGAGCCACCAAAATCTACTTTACAAAGCTTTCTGATATCTTTATGGCAGCACACAACCTCAGTGTTCTCCCTCCAGGTGACTGGTAGATTCAAACCTCTGAACTTATGGTTAGCAGTTCAATGTAAAGCCCACGACACCACGAGGGACCTTGAAGATATTTTAGTAGATTTTGTTCAATATGAGCTGACTTCCTCCAACACAAATGCATATCTGACATGTATCTACTGGAACAGATCACTTGGTCTATTTTACATATTATCTGGATATTAATAGTATTTTTAATAACATCACATATCTGATAGTGATAGGAAAGATCGAAAACTCTCTGAAAGGTATTAAAGCAGAGAGTCCCACAAACCCTGCGTGAATTAGTTTTCTGTAGATGTTTTTCTTGTTGTTTTCCCAAAAACGTCTTTCATGTGAAAAACACTTGTAAATGTTCTGCCTGTCTCTGAAGACACCTCTTTTCCAATTTAATTTCCAAATACTTCACCCACACAAAGCGAACTAGCTTTAAATGAATTATTGTCCTAAGTTAAATATTACAAAGGAGAGAAGAATGCATTAAATAGTTAAACTGCTGTAAATGCCTCTCCTACTAAAATATAGACACTGGGTATGTTTCAGCAACAGACATGGCAGAAAACAGGAGTCTGAGTCATAAACACCAGAATCAGGAACAAGAACACTTTTACTTACTGCACATGAAAGCCGTTTCATCTGAGTTATCAGCACAATCACTCACAAAGTCACACAGCTTGTCCTGGGGGATACAGTGCTTGTCAGCGCACGTGAATTCGCGAGCAGTACATTTCCTGTCTGGGCTAAGTAAGGGCGAGCAATCTTGAAAGGAGACATCATCCAGTGCCACGTCGCCAATGTAACTGATGCCGCGTTTTGCCCTGAAGACAATCTTAAGATTCATGAAGAGAAAAAAAAAGCGAAAAACGGATTTCAGTTGCATTCTCAATCAAGTAGCTAAAAACCTGTAGCCAATACTAAATGTAACACATCGACACTGATTCTGATAAAAAGCCCCACAATGAATCTGCCCCAGTACACTGGACAATCATCTAAAATCTGTCATCTTTGAATCCTATGACTGTAGTTATGCCATCACTGTTGTCCCTTGTCTAGGCTTCTAGGAAAGTGACTGAAATCACCAACCATCCCTGCTGATTCAATCAGCTCTCAGATCCTCACTACGACCTGCTGGTGGAGGCAGGAGCCAGCCAGTAAGGTGACAAAAATGTCCAAGAGAAAGGAGATGTTAGCACATCTCTCATGTTCCCAGTTCTTGACATTTCTCAGCTACGTCCACCCAACTATCTGAAGGTTTAAAACCACCAAATGTAATACTGAAAGTTTTGTTTTTCTTCAAGTAGACAGTGGTAAAAATAGTAAGAGGATTTAGTCAAGTGATTCTATCTTTGGAGCTTCCCAAGTAATGATGTAAAAAGCCCATAGCTACTTCAGCATACAGATTCTAGAATGTCTTGTAGTTTTACTCAAGGGTGAGAAACTTCCACCCTCTGAGGCTAATCAATGCTGTAACAGTACAAGCACGATGGACAACATCCCTGGATCATCACTATGTTCATCACAACTACATCTATAATGCTTAAAGGTGGTAAGTGCTGGAAAAGCTAAGACTGAAGAAACAATCAATGTTTAGTTGTAAAAACTAAAACGCATGGGTGTACTTTAACAAACTTTCAACCACTGAAACATTAGAATGTCACAAGAGCTGGCTTAGTAGCTCATCTCTTTTAGGTAGATAGGTATGTCCTAAGGAATCTGATTTGTCTTTCGACAGTTTTATTAGCATATAATGCACATGTCATACAATTCAATGGTTCAATTGCATCAAGAAGAACTGTACAATCATCATCACCATCAGTTTTAAAACAATTTTGTAATTCCTGTACTCCTTATGATAAATTCCTTATTCCCCTCCCATCCCCCCCTGCCATAGCCACCAAGGAATCCTTCCTCCAGTTACAGTCGTATAGATTTAACAATCCAGAATTTTTATACATTAAAACTAACAAAGTAAAACAGATCAAATCTCAATCTAAAAGAAGGCAGAAAATATTAAAAACTGGGACAAATGTCAAGGGATCATAAGGAAATCAAATTATAGGGTGCTAAATTTTACACAATTTGCCTCCGCAACAACCCACTTCAGAATGCAATATCAACTGACCTCCTTTGGACTCATATTCAGTCTGTTTCAGTTAAAAACATTGAAGGGAAAATACACATGGATTAAGGCCCATTGTCAGAATTCTGACAATGGACCAGGGACGGAATAGCCTAACTAATATGCAGACTGCCTTGAATGTGATTTTAAGCAAGACTTTTATTTTACAAATCTACTATTTACAGAGAATGAATTAAAAGATTCACTATCTGGTGTGAAAACTTGTATCTACTAGGAACAAAAGGGCTTGGAAATTCAACTGGCACCATCCTGGTCGGAGTACGTTTTCCCGTTTTGCAGAGTCCGGGGAGCACAGTGAGTTGGTGGGCTGCTTGGTGTCTGGTCAGCCTTTTTGAAATCACCTGCAGCTCTGTGGGGAAAAGATGACTTTCTACTCCCATAGTGATTGATAGTCTCAGAAGCCCAGGGGGTAGTCGTACACTCTTTGAATTACACCATAAGTTATAGAATGGACTCAGTGAGCTGCAGTTTTTAGGTTTGGTTCATTTTGGCAAATCATCAAATTCCTGAACAACCGACTCTCATGTACCTCCCCAGACGTGGGCTGTCACCCCTCTGACCGTCCACGCCTCGACCATTCCACCACAAGACAGATGCCTACTCCTCCACTCCCGTTATGCTGATTGTACATGAGAGTCGGACGTGAAGAGGGGGAGGGGGCAT